ATGCCAGCCTTCTGACTGGCTCCTCTTGTTCACCAGGACTCAGCCTTATTACCCGAGGAAAGGGTGACCTTCACACGAGCTTTCCTTAAATTGTTTAAAGAATAAATAAAAAGGGGAGAAAATGAATGTCTTTATTGAAGAACATTCTAGAATGTCAGAATAAGGATTTAGGATGAAAGGGTTAGAATTGCTGGTCACAGCACACTTTTGCTCAAGGGCTGATTCTGTCCAGCTGGGTGGTAGCCGTGGCTCCTCACATACTAGTCACCCTGGCTGTGGGTCTGGGCCTTGTGAACATGAGCTGCCCCCCCATCCCCATTGTGCAGAGGCACATGTGGGTTGCACACAAAAGTGACTTTTGATTCAGTTCAGAGATCAGGTTTGCTGAGAGGTTTCCAATTACCAGAAAAATTTATCCCGTGACAGCTTTTATGGTGTGAGGGGCTAGGGTAACTGCAGAAAATCAGCCAAGGGCTCCAAAGTTCCACCCTTGGGTCAGGCCACCAAGACCATCAAGTCCATGTGCTCACCCCTGGGTGAGACAACAGAAAGAAGTGGTGTGTGGCAAAGGTTGGTTTGGTCACTAGAATAACAAGAGCCATAGGCTTTAGAGTTTGCCTGAGCTGCTTAATTTCTCATTTAATTTCTAACTTTGGAAAGTGATGTTTGCCTTTCCAAATCTCACCCATTCCTTCACAAAAACAGGCCAAGCATCTGTTTCACAACACGCTCCATCCTCTGGCCTGTTTTTGGTCTCCTGAGCATGCTCTCTGAAACCCTAGATCCCTGTATCTGGCCCATCTCTGACGGTAAGTGCTGTCATTTCTCTTTTGCATTATTGTTAATTATAAAATCTCTTGCTGGGTTCAGTGGTGTATGCCTGTGATCCCCAAACTCAGGAGGCTGAGGTAGGAGGATCACAAGTTCAAAGCCAGTCTCAGCAACCAAGTGAGGCCCTGAGCAACTTAGACCCTGTCTCAAAAGGAAAAATAGAAAGGGCTGGGGATGTGGCTTGACGGTTAAGCACACCTGGGTTTAATCCTAGGTATCGTTAAAAACAAAAACAAACAAAACCAACTTTTGTGTTTTTCCATCAGACTGCCCTGCAAACTCCTATTTGGATAAAAATCCCCTTATTTCCTCATGACACATAGCACCGTGCCTCGGCTGTGGGGTGTATGGTAAATATTTCTTGAATGAGCAATGGAAAAACTGAAGTAAAACCTACGATGAGACTTCAAAAACTACAAAAACTTTTAAAATAGTGGAAAGTCTCATCTAATTATTTAAAGATAAAATTATCAAGTGATTTAGAAAACTAAGATAATTCTTTGGAGGACAGGAAAAGTCTTTGTTCTTTTAAACATACTTGTCTATTGTGTGACACCCTCAAGGAATAGACCCAATTTTTCAATCCTTTCCAATTCCCATTAACTAGCACATATTTAGCATATTTTTTTCTTTCCTGTTTCTTTTAAAGATGGAAATATTTTTTTTTTTACTGTTTTACCTATTAAAGAGTGACACATGTTTGATGTAAAAATTTAAACAATGTAGAAATGTAAAGTAAAAAGTATCAAGTACACCATAGGTCCATGTGGAAAGAAGATATTCACGAATGTTTTTCCACAGTTTTAATGCAAGTAAGTGGTATATTTATCCTCTTTCATCTATTCTATCTGTAATCTGCTTTTAAAAAAGCTATGCAATACCATGGCCTCCTTTCACATAGATGCAAGTAGATCTCCCTCACTCCCTAGCAGCCACACAGTTCTCTTTATTACCTCTTTAGAACTCTAGGCAGGTTTCAATTTTTGCTATTAAAACCACACTGCAGAGAAATTCTGGCCCATAAATCTTTTTTGGCATGTGAGTATTTCTCGGGTTACCTTCAGACATGGAATTTATGCGTTGAAGGGTATAAACATTTAACATTTTGATAGATTCTGCCAAATTTCCCTCCAAAAAGTTTTTGTTTTTCCGATCTATATCCCCAACACGAATTAAGAAGGCCTTCTGGGCTTCCCTACCTTTGCAGTCTTTACTGGCATGTGTTGAAAAACTCGTATATTTTACATGATACTTTAGGTATGTAAGGTACTGCTGGCTTTTCCAGTTTTTTTTTTTTTTTTTTTTTTTACATAGAATGTGTATTCTTTGGCCTTCACAAATAGTTGGTGGGATAAGTAGGGAGGCCTTATTGTTTCTGTTTTGGAATTTTAGCCACGAAGACTTACCCAACAAGTCAGTGTCAAAACCGGAAGTGGGGCCTTTAAACTATTTCTCTTGAGGTTTTTTTTTTTTTTTTTTTTTTGCCCAAGCTGGTAGGTCTGAGGAGGAGCCCCTGGGGGCTCAGCAATTCTTGATTTTATGCTAGAGCAGAAAAAAAAAAAAGAAGAAGCCCTGTTGGGGTGTTCAATTTCTTTAGCTAAAAGAAGCTCTCCTTTCTTACCAAGCCAAGTGGAGGAGGGAGGAGACAGGTGGCTTAGTGTGTTGACATCCGGCCTGTCAGGAAGTTCTGGGTGGGTGGGAGGTGGGCTGCTCGACTCAGTGAGCAATGCTGTCCTTCCTAACATCCCATGTGGAGGCTGGGGAGAGGACTGACCAGGGAACTCTCCCCACTGTCTTGCTAGTGTCCTCTGAAGTCCAGTGCTGCGAATTTATTTGCAAACTATCCTACTGTTTTAGCTACATTGGGCTACCATTATTTTCTGAAGTGTAGTTTACTAATTCTTGAAAATAGGACGCCCAATGTTATTGTTACGTAGAAACTAACATAAACTATTTAGGGGAGAGGGTGCTTTGATAATCTGAGGCTACTTTGCTTCTGCAAACGGTAAGTAGATCAGGCAGGAAAGTGGCTTTATATTGAAATCAAAATAGAAAGTACCATATCCTAACATAGGCCAGATGACAGCTGAGGCAAGGTGGAACACTTTGGAAGGGACAGTGACTGGTTACATGAATATTTATTTATTTATGTATATTTATGTATTAATTTTATTTGTTTATTTTTGCGGTAGTCAGAAATGCACCCAGGGCTTTCTACCACTAAGCTAGATTCTGTGTCCTTTTTATTTTTTTATTTTGAGACAGGGTCTCACTGATTTGCTAAGGCTGGCCTTGAACTTGCAATCCTCCTGTCTCAACTTCCCCAGTAGCTATGATTATAGGTGTGTGCTACTGTGGCTAACTGCATGATATTTATATGGACTAGACCACACTGTCTGATATTATCCAGCCACTTGTGGCTATTGAACACTTAAAATATAGCTAGCATGCTTGAAGCACTGAATTTTTAATTTTAGTTAACTTTGGTATTTAAAAGATTTAAATTAAAAAAAAACTGACACTCAGTTCAGTTATAGTATTGGAAAACTTATAAGTAATTTCAACAAGTTGGGTACATGAAAATACTTTTCAATGCTAAAATTTCATGAAAACTAAAATCTGCTCAAGTGTGTCTGATGAAAATTTATCATTCAGAGTGAAATGTCTTTGAGTGTAAAATATACTTGAATGGCATAGTATGAAAAAAAAATGTAAAATAGCTCAATGATGTTCATGTTGATTATATTTTGAAATGATAGTACTTCAAATAGTATTTGATTTAAACAAAATGCAATATGAAAATTCATTTTATTCATTTTGTGGTTTTTTAAAAAATCATTTTATCCATTTTTAAATGTGATTCTGGGCATTCACTCTTTCATTCGTTTATTGGGAATTTACTGAACACCTAACAGGTACCAAGTGCTGAGTCAGCAAAATTGCAGCAAAACTCAGAAGGCTCCTTGTAAATTGTCTGCACAGCAGCTGAAAACATACCTGTGTATATGTGGGTGTGATCCCAATGAGTGTCACATTCGTAACACAAACATTAAAATAACCATTGTTTTTCCCTAACTTTGTGAGTTAAATTCCTAGCTCATTAATTTGTAGACTATTTCATTTTCTTGTACATATAATTAAGGCTCTAATTTTACCATAAGTACTCCATCAGGTGTATTCCAAAGAGTTGGTGTTAGCATTTTATTCTTTCTTTCTTTTTTTTTGGTACTAGGGATTGAACCCCGGGGTTACTTAACCACTGAGCCACATCCCCAGCCCTGTTTTGTATTTTATTTAGACATAGGGTCTCACTGAATTGCTTAGGGCCTTGCTAAGTTGCTGAGGCTGGTGGCTGGCTTTGAACTCATGATCCTTCTGCCTCAGCCTCTTGAGTTGCTGGGATTACAGGCATGTACCACCACGTCAGGCCAATGTGTGGAGTTTTCAATTATTAGTTTTAGTATTCTAGAGCTACATTCTCTTAAATCTCTTTTGTGGAAGAGACTACAAGTTGCTTGCATAATCCTTCTCCATGAAAACTTGTTGGTATGGACTTTTCTCAAACCCTGTATAACCTTTATGCAATTACATTTTATTAATAATCCTTGCAATGAAGGAAATGGGTGTTACGCTAATGAGGGTGACCATGTCCTGTATGAGTCTTTTTTTTTTTGGTACTGGGAATTGAACCACTTAACCACTTAGCCACATCCCATCCCTTTTTATTTTTTTTAATTTTGAGACAAGGTCTCGCTGAGTTGCTGAGTCTGGCTTGGAATTTGCCATCCTCCTGCCTTATCCTTGGAGAGTCTGGGATTACAGGTGTGCACCACTGCACCTGGCTCTATATGAGTCTTAATGAGAGAGAAATTTTGAATAAATCAAAAGGCATGTTAGTTTTTTCTGGGGACAGGAACTTATGGAACAACAACAACAAAAATAATTTAGACTTCTTGGTAGATGGATTGTTAAAAAACAATTAGTAATATTGATCTCTAATGTATTGTGGCTATCAGGGATGACATCTAAAACCTTCCATAATATATTTCTAAGGACTGACCTGAGACACAGAGATGAGAAATTGGAGAGGAATAGAGTGGAACCCACCTTCTGTCAATCAATCAGACAACAAATATTTATTGAATATCTATGACATGAAAGGCCTCGGGATAGGTATTGTGAAGAATGGGATGTTAGTGGTCGAGAAATAACTAATTACATATATTGACTCATTTACTATTCCTGGTAGTCCTATAAGATAGAGATTATTATTGGCCTTAACCATGGTCATATCAGCACCAAAGGGTTGATCTGGGCATGTTTCCCAGGTCTCAGTCCCAAACCTGATATGCTTGGATACATTCAGGAATGTGGTCTCAGTTCTCAGAGAGTTTCATAACAGGGAGAAGATAAGATACGTACAGAGGAGCAGTGAAATCATAATACAAACTCTGTCATGAGCAGCTTTGGAGGCTTTGTGGGAAAGGATGGGCCAGAAGAAGATGGAGGAACGAGAGCAGTCCAGGCTCACGAGCAGCTGGGGCACAGGAAAAAGTGTCTATTCTGATGGTAGGGTCAGGGCCAAGTGGGACACAGTTTTCGGGGCAAATGGACCCAATATCTTTCCTCCTGTCTTCTTTCATTGTGTCCATGCCTTTTTCTCACCCATTCTGTTTATCTGAAGCTGAAGAACTTTTTTTGGATACTTGTGGTTTTGTATTTTGGTGGCAATGGGTGTGGAACCAGCACCGGAGGAGTGGGAATATGGCGTTCTTTTTGGCAGAATCCTTCTAATTCCCTGAGGTTGGATTTCGAGCACGGGATAGGAGGGGGCTGGAGTTGTTAAGCAGGGATGTGCCGAGAATCAGGGTGGTGGAGAAGGAGAGTGGGAAGATGGGTGCACTCAATCAGCACTTCCAGAGTACCAGTGACACGCCAACTTACCAGGGTGCAGTGCAGTGGGCTGAAACGAGGTTGGGATCAGGCACCTTTGGAGTGGAGGAGCAAGAAGCGCAGAGAGAGGGGCACCAGCCAGTGGGGCAGGAGGACCCGTCTGAGCCACCTTCCCCTGCCTCTGTCATGGGCAGTGTGGCGAGAGCACAAGACGGTGAGTCAGCCGAACTCTGCTCTATTCCCAGTTTTCTTCTGCGTCGATCACAACCTCTTATGTCAAATCACATCACCACATCAGCCCTGGAATTCCCGGCCAAGGGGAAGTGGTACCCTCCTGACCAAGTTCCCACCAAGAGGAGACGCTCACATGCCTGCAGACCACAGGAGAGGGACCGTTGGTGGCATCTTCTTTCTTCTGTTGCTCCCAACAGCTGCCACGGGTGGGAACTGTGTGAAGTGAGACCTGCAGGTCACATGTAGATTTGCCTCTGAGGTTCCAACTCACACACATGTCCCCAAGAAGTATATCTTAATGTTGTTAATTGTGCCTGTAACTGTAACGTGCCTTAACTGTAAGACAAATTAAAAATTACTTGAAATACATTTTAGAGTGTATAAGGCAATTTCATCCCAAATAATGCCACCTACATCCAACTATGGGAAACATTTTGGTGAATATCTTTGGAAAAGTATGTATTCCTTTTTACAATATACATTTTTAAAGTTTCTCTATGTAAAACAATGTACTCATTTATTTAGTTATAAAAATATAAGACTGGGATCCTATTATACATACTGCTCTGAAATCTGCTTTTCCCTTGCTTGATAATGTATAATGAACATTTTCCTGACACTGAAAATATTTTTAACAAGATCGTTTTGTAATATATATATTTTTAGTTGTAGATAGACACAATACCTTTATTTTATTCATTTATCTTTTAAGAAAATATTTATTTTTAGTTGTAGTTGGTTGGACACAATACCTTTATTTTATTTTTATTTTTAAGTGGTGCAGAGGATTGAACCCAGGACCTCGCATGTGCTAGGCGAGAGCTCTACTGCTGAGCCACAACTCCAGCCCCTTATTTATTTATCTTTTTATGTGGTGCTGAGGGTCAAACCCAGGGCCTCATGGGTGCTAGGCGAGCGCTCTGCCACTGAGCCACAACCTCAGCCCCTTTAATATCTACATTCTCTTTTTTATTGATTGGGTGCACCTCCCTTGGTTTCCTCTCTGCATCACCAGGGAACTACTTCCTTGGGTAGGAAAGGGTTTAAGAGATAAGAACTATTTGCATCTGGGTCCTGTCTTAAAAATGGTTTCCTATTGCAATAACAAAATACCTGAGGACAGGTAATTTATAAAGAATAGAAATCATTTTGCTCATGGTTCTGAGGTTGGCAAGTCCAAGATTTGGGTCATGGCATCTGCTTGGCACCTGATAAAGGCCTTTTGCTGTATCATGCCCTGGTGGAGGGTATCACATGGTGAGATGGAGCAAGCTTACTAGTTCCATTCTTTCTTCCTCTTCTTACAAAGCTGCCCTCATAACCTCATCTAATCAGTTTGACTTCCCAGAGGCCCCACCTCCAAATCTATTAACATATGAATTTAAGGACTCCTTCCTTCCTTCCTTCCTCCCTCGCTTCTTTCTTTCCTTCCTTGAGCTGGGGATGGAATCCAGGGCTTTGTCCACGCTAGGCAAGCACTCTAGCACTAAGCTACACCTCCAGCCAGTGTCTGTTGCTTTAGAAAGAGGTCATTGTCATACTAAGGTCACAGTACTGGAAAAAAATAAGATAATATTGTTGGTTGTTGGATCTTCTGGGCTAACTCTGTGTTTCCAGACTTTTCGGTTCCAGCATATCAACAATAAGGCTGAACGCGGAGACAGAGAAAGCAGGCGTAGACTGAGCCAGACTGCTGGGTCTGAACCCTCATTCATCACTTGCCAATACATTTGGCTTGCACAACTCACACAGCCCCTTTAAACCCCCAGGGGGACAGCGATGGGACCTTCCTGGTGGGGTGTTAAAGGTACAAATGATGGAACCTACATAATCCCTGAGCAGGTGTTTGGCATGGAGAAAGGGTGGCTCCAGGTGGTCCCTGAATGTCTGGGGCTGACCTAATAGAAGACCCAGGTTAGAGACCAGGACACACTTCTCAGAAGAGGCAGGGCTTGGAGAGGTTCTGATGACACAGCAGGGGTGGGGAGGGCTTCAAAGGATGGAGATTGGGTCGCGTGGAGGCCAGTCGGGGAAAGCCAATAGTCAGGGAGTATGAGCTTTGTGTTCTGTTGAGGAGTGAGTGGGAGTCAAAGCAGGAAACCGGAGCCTCGGAGGCTGGCTGCAGAGAAGGTGCCCAGTTTGGGAAGAAATGAGGAAATGCCAAGGGCTTTCAGCAGAGGCCCAGGGGCACAGATGGGTAGGATGGAGTAGGAGGGGGAAGATGAGCCGGACATGGGGTCACAGGAGGCTGTCATGGAAATCCAGGCTTGTAGAGCCCGGAGCATGAGGAATGGAGGTGGGAGGAAAGTAACGGGAGGCAGGAGGGTTGGGAGAAGGGGCGGAGAGAATGGGGGGTATTACCTAATCCCAAGGGGAAGGGGATGGCTTTGAGGGCCACGCAACACAAGCGCCCTTCACTTGGTTTAATATTCTACTGTCACTTTCTTGACCCTCTAAATATATTTTGAACAAGAAATCCCACAAATTTTGAGCAAAGTCTCACAAGTTACTAGTCAGTCTTGGATGGGGACCCACAAAATATTTGACCTTGGACTTGTACAGAGGAGAGAGGAAACTGAAAGTGTAGTAGGGGATTTAGGTGAATGGAAAATGAGAAGCAGAGTGGTGTTTTGGGAGAGGGCCCTATGAAATGCCAGCCGTGGGGAGATGCTTGAGAATGCCTTGGGAATTTGGTCTGAGAGCTCAGTCAAGTACTTTGAGCTATACTTAGTTGTTGGGAATTCATATCATCTCATTAACCTTTTCTTCAAACACCTTTGGATTGTTTTGTTTGGTTTTAATGAGATGCAATTACTTTTATAATTAGAAACAAAATCACTAAAATCATTTATTTGATAATAATATACATGCAGCTTTAGAAGTAGGTATAGGAAAGAAACTTTATTTACATTTTTTGCTGTACTGAGGATTGAACCCAGTGCTCTTCCGTTGAGCTACTTCCCTATCCCTTATTATTTCATTTTGAGAAAGGGTTTTATTAAGTTGCCCAGTCTGGTCTCAAATTTGAGATTCCCCCTGCTTCCTGAGTCGCTGGATTCCAGGCTTGAGCCACTGTGCCCATCTAAGAAGAATCTTTAAAATGGGTCAAGAACTGAATCTGAAGAACCACGGTTGTGGACTAAATCGTGTTTTTTCCGCACCCCAAAGGTTCACATGCTGAAGTCCTCACCCCCAGGTATCCCAGAAAGTGACTTTAATTTGGGAAAGAAAAACAAGGTTTTATGGGGTGTAATTAAGTTATAACAAGGTTATTAGGGGGTCCTAATCCAATATGTCCTTAGAAGAAGAGGAGATTGGCACACATAGTGGGACTCTGTGAGGACACTGGGACAAGAAGGCCATCTACAAGGCGATTAGAGAGACCGCAGAAGGAAACAACTGCCCCGGTGTGGATGTGGTGAGTGAACCCCCAGAGTCGTGGAAGCTTGATTGTTGAGAGCCACAGCCGAAGGGGCCCCAGCAAACTTCCAGCTGCCAGCAAACTTCCAGCTGCCAGCTGATGATTGGCTCACAGCGGCCCCAGCAAACTTCTAGCTGCCAACTGATTGGCTCCTCTGCGGTGATGCTCATTGGGCTGTTTCCTGGCCCTTTCAGACCACGGAGCTGCTCATTGGGGGACTTTTTTTTTTTTTTTTTTTTTCAAAAAGCTGCCAGCACTTGATCCCAAGTGTGATGGTGTTGTGGTGCTACCTTCAAGAGGTGGGGCCTCACGAGAGAGGCTAAGTCACTGGGGGTGCTCAGCAGGGAAAGGATTCATGTAGTTCTCCTGGGACTCTGGTCAGTTCCTGAGAGAGGGGGTTCTTAGAAAAAGCCCAAGCCTGGTCCTTGAATTTCTCTGTCTTCCTATCTTGTCATGCCTATTGTTCCTCATGTACTCTGGCCACTGTGGCGCAATCTGCCATGAGACCTTCACCAGATACAAGCAGAAAAGCCCGAGTCATGCTTTCGGACCTCCAGATCTGTGAGCTAAATTAAACTCTTTTCTTTCCTAATTACCCAGTCTTGGGTATTCCGTTATAGCAATGGAAAATAAACGAATAGACCAAACCAGCTGACACCTTGATCTTGGACTTTCCTCTTCACAACTGTCAGAAAGGAAATCGTTTAAGCCTCCAAGTCTGTGGTACCTTGTGTTACAGCAGCCCTAGCCGACTAATACAGCCACGTTCTTCCGGAGAACAGGAAGACGTAGGAAAGTCTCCTTAGACAGCCCAGAGATGGTCAGAAGAGGTCGATGAAGAAAGAGATGAAGTCAAAAAGCAGAGAGTCTCTGGAGGATGGGGGGATTGTTGCTGGTGCAGATGGGGATGAGGGAGCAGTGAGGGCTCGGCTTCCGGAAAGCTGCAGAGCTTTCCATCAGGAAGTTGCCCTGACCTTTGACAGGACCATGTCACTGGTCCAGCAGGGGAAGTCCAGGTGCTTTAGGTTAGGAGGGGAAGTGACACGAGGCTCCAGGGCCAGTGTACCCTTACCTTCAAGAAGTTTCCATATGAAGCTCAGGGACAAGATGGGGCAGAAACATAAGGGGAAAGCAGAATCAAGGGAAGGACTTTTTTAGGGCAGGGGAATCCCTGGGTAAGCACGGCTGGAGAACCCCCAAGGAGGGAGCCCAGCCAGGTTCATGGTGCCTCCTCTTTGTTTGTTAAATGAGCGAGAAGTATCAGGGGGAAGGTCACAAAGTTCAGTGGGACAGTTTGGCACTGCATCCACTGAAGGAAGCGATCGCTGTGCTGTCTCCTAATTCAGGACAGAGGGGCCCAGCCACTGGACTGCCCCTCCTTGCTGAGCTCCGCCTGGTTTCCTCTGATCTCTGTCCTTTTGCAACCCCCCTTGCTGAATTTGGAGAGATGGTTGCGGACTGTCTTCCCATCTTCCAGCACCTGTCACTCAGGGCTTACCCAGCTGCAGAGCAGAGGCCGAGTCTTTGAGGTAGGTGACAACACTTGCCTACAGACCTCTGAGGTCAGGAATCCTGGATGTTCAGAGGGGACTCTGGGCTGCTTCCTGCTCTCTTCTGCTCCTCGTCCTGGCTCCTGGGCCCAATCCCCAGGCAGTTTCCTTGTTTTCTTGGGCGATGAATGTTAAATTTCCGGGCAGTCTTAGCTCTAGGACCCTCCTTCCTCTTGGCTAATAGTTTTCAAACTTTTAATGAAATGGCTAAACCCATCTTTCAAAAACACAGAAATCCTTAAAGTATCAAATGGCTAAAGGCACATTTTATTAGTATACATTCCCATTATAAAGTCAAACTTACTATATTCACACATCATAAAGCCAAGCAACGTGAATTACAGGCTGTTTTAATAAATGGAAAA